TATGCGTGGGTGTTTTGTACAATATTTTTATACTAACTCTACTTTTAGAAATCGTACTAATGGAATATTTATGGTTCGACTGAAAAGTTTAGATTATGATGCGAAAGAAGAAATTAAAAAAATTGCTGTATAATATCTACAAACCATAGATATAATAATACAAGTACAAGTATTATTATATCTATGCTACAAATACACACACACAGTTTTTTTTTCATTTTTCTTATCTGTTAAAAAAATTCTGCAATTATTTTTGTTTTTTAAATGTTACTTGTTGTTTGTATTATTATCATTGTGTTGGCATGAGCCTGTCATTAATTATATGGAGATGACACTGACTCCTGCAACATAGTTTTTAACGAGCGCAGGTGCTAGGGAAATCTTTATCACCTGTGTGTATGTATAAAACTATGTCAATAAAGAATTTATTATTTATATAACTGATGTCGAGTACCCCACGCTTTTTTCATAGTGGCATTGATTTTCTCCTTAATCACTTTGTTCTTTACTAAAAAATATTCTTAACTTTTTAGTTAGGCAAAATATCCTGAACGAACCATGGGCCTATATATTAAATGGAAATGTTCTTTATAATAGCTCGTAAGCTAATCTATTAGTTATTCGTCATAAGCCCTTATCAATTCATCTTGTTAATCAGTTCACGAGTTTTCTAGTAGTTACGTACAGTCAGACAAGAGGAAACATAAGCATTTATTTATGTTTTCGTTACATACTCACAGTTTACAAATTATTTATATCAAATGTACTTATATCGATACAATTTCAGAATTCTGTTCTTGTATTTACTTTTACATCGGTATTGTACTCGCATAACAAACTCTTTCGTTCGAAGTACTCGTATTTATGAACGAGTAGCTTCAAAGTACTTACTTTTCTAATTGTTATCTTGCTACGAATAAAAAATAGGATAGACGTCTTATTATGCAAATATTATATGCTTTTATTATAATAATATGGTATGTTTTGTTTAAAGTAGGTTTTGTATATTTTTATCAGTACAAAATTTTAATATAAGGAGATGTTCAAAAAATGAAGTAATAATACATGAACGAATTATCAACTTCGTTCATGTAATAATCTAATATATAAAATTTCCATGTCACAATGTTTGTTACCGTACTCCTCCGAAACGGCTTTACCGATTTTTACCAAATTTTATATGCGTATTCAGTAGGTCTGAGAATCGGCTACTATCCATTTTCCATACCCCTAAGTGATAAGGATAAGGGTGGTCCTCCCAGACCCCACCCCAGGGACGAACCCGAGCGGAGCGAGGGTGAGTCGCTAGTATTATATAATAATAAAGAAATCAACTAGAAAAAGGCAATGTCCACATTGCCTAGTTACTTTTTAAGAACTTTGAACTGCTGTTTAAAACATTAGTTAACTCCATTTGACGATTACTTTATCAATTTAAAAAGCAAGTAATTAATTAATTAACTTTTTAGAACTTAATTTAAAATCTGCAATATATTGTACGTCATACACATAGAAACATCAATCGGGACTTAGACACTACTCATCTTCAAAGTCGGGAACCTTCGAAGCACCATGTTTCATGCATCACCCTTAATGGGGCTGGAATTTGCATTGACTAGGTATACAGAGAACAGATACTTATCCTGGTCTAGTTAAAACAGAGTCTGGAGTTAGGTGTTGTACCAAACATGTAGCGATCGTACGATGTGAATGTGTCTGTATATTAAAATGTCACAGACATTTTCTTATTTAAGTTTTTAAGTAAAATAATTAAATGCAAGTTTGTTTTGTTACATAAAATATAAACATATAATTGGACCCAGTTATGCAAAAAACAGCCATGTGCGTAAAAGTACCAACAGAGTTATAAGCATTTTATTATAAAAAATCAATTTTAAAATAACCAGAAAAACAAAACATAACTACATAAAAATGCTTATAACTCTGTTGGTACTTTTACGCACATGGCTATTTTTTGCTTAACTGGGTCCAATTTGCTTATAAACTAATCAGCATATAACAACAAATCATTATTAAGTTTAGACTTACGTTGTAAACTTACATTGTAACTATGCTCTCCACGGAAAGTCCTTTTATTAACGGAATAATACATAAACCTATGTCAATCCTAAAGATTCATTCTTAATCTTCGTAGTTAGATTACTAGTTTTGGAGATTTCCTTATACATTCAAACTTACAAACATTACTTTTTTATAATATTAGTGTAGATCTAGTTTAAAACTTTGTAAAACTAGTTAAAAAATTGAAAAAAAATATAACAATGTACGGTAGCCAACCACATAATGATATATTCAATGTGCTCGTAACCTAATCCGAGTTGAATGACTCTGTGACTCACTCTTTAGCAACAACACTCCTATAACGCTCTTGGAAAGGTCATCGCAAGCTTCAATGGATACAGTATTTTTATCGCAAGTAGCCGCTGGATATTTCAACATCCATACCTACTTATATATTATGTTATGTTTTTATATATGCTTTAAAATGTTAATGATAGTTTTAAAAAGCCCCCGACGCATTAAATCTTTTACAATTCTTTAAAGTATCGAAAAATCTTTTAAGGGTTTATCGTCAATTTTGTTAACTTACCGATACCGAAGACAGACACTCATCAAACTTATAAAAATTAAAAATATTTATTTTGGTTCACTCTTTGCCGAAATATGTATATATATATATATATATATATATATATATAAGATATACATCATAGAGAACTTTTTTAATTAGTTAGAGGATATTGACAGAGACGGATATTTCTAAATAACTTACATAGTTATACAACAAGCCGATATCTATAAACTATACGTATTTCCCATAATAATAAGGAAAATTAGTGTATTTTTTAACTGACTAAGAAAATATTCTTTATTATAATTTGTACTCGCCTACTGCTCGCATAGAAAAACATATATGAATAGAATTTACTTATTTATATTAAAAAAAAATTTTTTTTAATTGATGAACACTAAACCTCGTCAATATCTACTAAACAAAAAAAAATCAGTTGACAAAGGGGAATCCCTAAAAGTCTATATTCCTATAAGTCTAAGTCTAACAAAATAGCGAACACTACATATAATATTTAAATAATAATAGATAGACGTGGAATCAGAACTCTACAATAATGATACGACAAATAACAAAAAGTAGTCCAATGTCAGTTGGACTATCGTTCAGGATTTCAATCATTATCCAATATAAATTGTATTTTATTCATACGTAACACACGTATTGTGTCGCGGTACGAAACAACGCGAGTCCGGTTTACAATTTATTTATACTATATGTATATTAAAGAAGAAGATTTACATGGTCTACCTAACTATACATATAATAAAATTGTAACAAAGAAAAGAAAAATTGTAACGAATCTGTACATAAAATATTTCTTGGAAAATCTTATTGAAATGGACTTTATTATCGATACAGAGGGCGAACGAATCTATGGTTTTTAGAGTTTTTGTCTGTCTGTCTGTCTGTCTGTCTGTTACCGAATCACAGAAAAACCACTGGAGGGATTTTGATGAAATTTGGTATGGTGATAGCTGGTTATCCAGGTCAACATGTAGGATACTTTTTACCGCGGAAAAATGTCTCATTTCGAAGACAAAATACAAAAACTGCAATGTAAGAGTATACTAATATGTAAAACCTAAGAATTTAGTTTTTTGCCATCTGAACGCGGGCGGAGCCGCGGGCAATAGTATAAAAATATCTCAATACTAACCGCTACGGGCATTCCGTTCCACGAATGTTTATGGTTATTTATCTACAGATCATTGGGTATTTCCCACTGGTGTAAACGTGTCATTTTCCCTAACATACTTAGTTAAACGGAAAGGAAAGAACTGCTACTCCCCGAGACTTTTATGACATGATAAGAACTGTAATTATATTATACAGATTTTAACACCAGCATCATAAATAATTTACTACGTTACTTTGTTTTTGGATATTGTAAGGAATATATCTTTTCAGATAAAGCATACTGATATTTTTTTACATTAAATATCCTTATCGCCTTTCCCATCTTACCTGCTTAGGTTTTTCCTAATTGGACATATTGGAGCTTATAGCATAAAAATTTACCACACATATTTACCATTAAAATATTATTTTCTATGAATTTTTTTAAAGATTAAACATTTTAAAAAGCCTTTCTTAGCGTTTTTTCATATCATTTTTTCATTCATACATAGATTATTATTTATTATACAACAATTATTTGTTCTTCATTTAAACACATCATATATATTTTTTTAAATGTTAAACGTTATACCAGTTCGGTACTTAAACTAATGCCACAACAGTTAACCGTATTCAATGGCTTGCCAGGTGCGATACAATTTGGGGTCTTACCAGCTGTTAGAAGAAAAAATCTACGGCACCTTTCGTTATAGTGTATATGTTTTTTTACCGACTTTAAAAAGGAAGAGAGGAGAAAAGGACACTAAAATAGAGATCCGATTTGAGTATATTCCCATCAACTTGTGAACTTAAATGATAGTTTTTACTTTTTAATAATTAAGTTGTACTTCACTGGACCATTCATATTACCGGATTTCGAGAAAAAAATTACACTCCTAATTCAATATGTAGTTAAAAAATAATTATTATGCCCATTTAAGTATTTAATAAATGTCTTTAATTTAATCTAAAAATAATTAAACAAAATATGTAGTTTTGCGTAAGAATTTTAGATTATTTATTTGGTGTCGCATCGTCACAAAAGAATGTAGACAGATAGATTATGTATATTATCTTTGCATTCAGGTGTTTTTAATAACATTTGTACTCGTACGAAGTTAATTATATCAAATATTCTTTTCAATATACTTCAGCGAGACAAGTCTTGTATGGTTAATACAAATATTTGGCCTGAGTGACCCCGATTTGACCTTTTGCTTAAGAATAGGTACTCAGCAGTGGGTTAGCCAACGATAAGTATGAAAATTAATAATAATTTTACACTTACTTTAGGTGCAGAGATCTCGTGGAACGAGCTCGGGCGTGGCGCGGGCCCGGCCGCCACGCAATCTACCGGGACGCTGTAGTCTGCACAGAGAGCCGCCTGAAAAAAAAACGATTTTATACTCATAAACACATAAATATATAAGCAATCACTATAAATCAAAGCAATATGAATGAATAATTTTAAAATCAATTGCCGAACACGATTAATATACCTACGTAGAGAATTTAAGGGGAGAAAATAATGTTTGTTTTTAACCGACTTCAAAAAGAAGAACGTAATTCGGTTGTATGTTTTTTCGTGCGTATAATAGCCGATAACTTTAAACCTTTTTATATGTATGAATAAATTTCAAATGTACCTACTCTGTTGATATACAAAAACCGGATTTTCGTAAATCAATAGTTTTAAACTTTGTCGAAGTAAAAATGATATACTAATAGTGTAAATAATCATGTTGTAGGAATTCTACAATATTCTCACAGTAAATTCCTTTTAATCTACATGTACAAACGTATATAAACCATTGTTGCTATATGAAAGTAGACGTTGACGAACGGACGGAGCGAATAAACACTCGACAAAGAAGCATGAGTTTTTGAACGCAATATATAGCTTAAAGGGATTCTATTTAATATCTTTTATAATTGGTTGCGAAGTACCATCGGTATTCAATTTAAAGAGTAAAACAAACAAATCGGCCCCGCTAAGTATCGCCTGAAACCAATAAAGCGCGGGGCATAAAGGGAGCTCTGCCCCATTACAAGGAGCTGAAATTAATTGGGCACAATTATCTTTTTGTTTTGCCCTTAAATGAAATCGTCTCTGTCCATTAATTATAACGGGATTTAACAGTTTAAACTCTACATTTCTCATGATAAACCTTTTGAGTTTACAAAAGTTTTTCTAATATATTTCTTTTAAAAACATCTTTCTTGTCTTATTTTAACTTTAAAATTATTGCTAAAGTAACAAAAAAACTTACGTATCTTTAAATTGTTAGCGTATAATTGTAAAACTGGTCTTCGTTTAATACTCTTGTTTTACGAATATTTAAAGTCCTTTGACGTTAGACTTTGCCAGTAGAGCTAAGTCGATGGACGATGTTATGACGCCGCATAGTTCTGATATTGAGTTATGCAGACAGGCAGATGATGGCTATATTGAACGTCTGCTATTTCTTAGTAAATCCTAATATTATTATAAATACATAATGACTTACAAAGAATCTCTTTATATTATATTATTAAAATATCCAGACGATATTAACTTATAACGAAAACTTTCATATTCAAGATGAGTAAAATTTTAAGTAAATTCATGAGTGCCTAATTTAATAAAATGGTAATATTTTGTCACATTTTCATAATATGGAGAGTTAAAGACCGCTTTCTAAAGATAAGAAGTGACAGATAATGATTAGCAACTACGTCTTTTGTTTACTCTAAAGGACAGTGAGGTCATATGAGTAAACACGTATTTTTACACACAAGTGAGGTTATTTGGTTTATTTATATTATTCATACTCAGGACTCTACGTTGTAAGAAAATCGTAATCTTAATAAGTTCTCACAAAGTTAAATAGAAAAGAATATAGCAAAGCCGCCTCTCAAATCTCAGCAGCTGGATTTTAATAAAAGCATTTAATAAGAAAAAATCCTTTTGTCCGCAAGTTTTGATAAAGAATGGGGATCTCCCGAGCAATTCCAGTTCATTCATAGTAAATCAAGTTTGTCCTACAAAAGGCACGTATTCATGGTGCTTTCATCGTCCCCCATCAGATTATCATAAGTCACAGATCACCGGAGCGTGGAGATAAAGTTATCGTTGACAAAGGGACAGTTAATTGTTTTATCAACTGTATACAGTTCACTGCTTCCATTAAGTTGGTCTAATTTTTAAAGCTTCATAATAATGTTATAAAGAGTAAGACTAATCGTGCTTTCTTATTAGAATCATTTATTATTTCTTAATCCAAACTTAATAACAAGTTTAGATTATGTTTCATAATACACACTTGTATCATAGTTAAATATCTCATCCATTCAATCTGCTAGCGGATCCAACGGTCCCAGTTAATGCAGATTCTCGTATTTGAGAAATTCGTAGTGAACTGTTACAGAATTAAAGAACTGAAGCAAAAGTACATTTGTAATTCGTATAGAGATAGGCAGTGGTAGCCCAGTGGTAACGCGTTCGCTTACGAAACCGAGTGAAGCGGGTTCAAATCTCAGATTTATATATTTTCATGTGCGAATCATTTGCAACATAATTACCACTTGTCTTACGGTGAAATAAAACATCGTGAGGATACTGCATGTCTGAAAGAAACTAGTATATTTTCCAAAGACATGTGAAGTCCCGCACTCGGCCAGCGTGGTGGACTATGGCCTGATTTCCCTCGTACTAAAGGGAGGTCCATGCCCAGCAGTGGGACATTAAAAAAGGTCGAATACATACATACAGAGAGATCGGAACTTCGTGACACCTATATATAATAGAAGATATACAAAAAATAGACGAATTTAGTTACAAACAAAAATAGATAATTTACAAATATTAATACCATCCATTTATATAGGTTTCAGGAAAACTAATTGGTACTAGCAATCTTTTTCATACATTTTACAGATTGAATTTGTTTTTTTTTGTTAAAAAGTCAAATGTAGGTATGCTTGATTGTTAGTAATTGATAAACTATAAATTACCATTTTATCTACAATTTTAAGGTTAATTCTATTCAAAGAGTAAATAAATCTATTCATTATTAGCCAATGCTAATAAGAACATTCATAAATGTGACTTTAAAAACTCTCTCCTTTACATAACCTCTACTATAGTTATATATATATATATATATATATATATATATATATATATATATATATATATATCTTCATAATATTTACGAAGTGCACTGTAGCATTTTCTATTGAATTAGCATCTTGCATACAATAAAGCTATAGACGAGTCAGTCTATTAGGAAATTATATTTTGGTTCAACCAAAGCCCGTAAATAGCTTTTGATCTCATTGAATTTCAGTTTGACGCTGACACAGGATGTTTCATTTAGCCCCATAAGGATGACGCATTTTGAATAATATTTCTTTCTATTTATAAATTTGAATAATAATTTTCATCAAAAAAATTATTAAAAAAAGTTTGAAATTTTCAAATTAAAGACGTGTAGACAGGACAACGTCTGTCGGGTCCGCTAGTAATTAAATAAAGTCATAAACCATAAAGCTATATATATATATATATATATATATATATATATATATATATATATATATTGGTATTGCAGCAATAAACCCTAATAATCCATGGTTGTACGCAACTGAAGTCCACATAGGCTGCCGTATAACATGGGATTTGCTAGTATATTTAGAGCTTAAATTTAACATAATACCAATAGGGAAGGTTTTAAACATATTATACACTAATAATAACTTTATTAATACTTATAATTTAATAACTATTTAAATCATCTTTGTATTGTTTTTTTCAATTTATATACTATATATATATATATATATATATATATATATATATATATGACTCACATAATAAAATAGCTCCAGAACTCGAAAATATAAAAAAAAATCAAGGTCAATTCCAATCAGTCTAAAAATATATCAGTTCTGTTTAGGACATTTGCTAAAATTCTATTCCCGAGATAGTCTAACTTTAAATCTAGTAATCGAATTTAGATCCTTTATAATTAGTTCAGAGTTAGCTTTAAAAAAAAATTAGCAATGCTTCTATATTCGGTATGTAATAAAAGAAAATAAGTTTTGTACTGTAGTACCTATAGATGTACGTCCGAAATAATGACAGTTAAAATGAGACATGCCATAAATTTTCTTACGCCCTTTGCACCCTCTGTGTATTATCTACCCTATGATGAATTTGATGCGAACACAAATATATACTAAACAAACTTATCTGAATACGCAGAATTGATCAAAAAAAAATAAAGACGTAGCAAAATAAATCCTTTCTTAATATTACAGTAAAATTATGTGTTTAATTTAATTTTACTAGTAGAAAGTATACGTTTCCCATAGATTTTTCATATGAAACTCGTGAGATTTGCGTAAAATTAGACCCAAACAAATTCTTATTAAGTTATATATGGTTTAGTTGTTATATACCAACTAAAAACACGAGTGATAAAAAATAGTTTATACCTAATATTATATATAATAATTATAGTTTTTGATATATATTTTGTACCAATAATGTTAAACAGTATGCTACAGAGATTACTTTCCAATGTCCGACAAAACTTTAATATCGTACCCTCACCTATCAGTCTATGCCTACAAACATGGCGTCGTAATCCAAAGCCTGACATAAGTCATGTCCACACGTCATGTAACATTACATGTACACTCTGTGGAAACCAATACCTTAGACTATAATATATGCGCTGTACAAATCTATTTGCAAACACTACTTAGTATTTAATCTGTTTTGATATTTGACAGGCACTGCCTACCGGGCATTATCTATACATATAATAAAATCGTAATTAAGCTGAATCTGTACATTAAATATTTTTTGGAAAATCTTATTGAAATAAACATTATTATCGACACAGAAGCCGAATCTATGGTTTTTAGAATTTTTATCTATCGTCTGAGTTTTGTGTGAAAATATCTCATTTCTGAGAAAAAATCCAAAAACTGCAATGTAAGAGTATACTAATATTATGTAAAACGTAAGAAAATGGTTTTTTGTCATCGGAACGCGGGCGGAGCCGCGGGCATTGCTAGTCTGGTTATAAATTCGAATTTCGTTAGTTCCTTTTTTTATTCTGTAGTGGCGACTTACTTTTATACTTGCGTCTATAGGTTACTGTTTGTAATAAAAAAACAAATTTTCTAAAAATTGTTACTTTCGTGATAGTTATACTTTTTACTTTAAGTGTTAACATACTATCTAAAATTATATGGGAATATCATACTCTGGTCACGAGACAATGATTAATTCTACAGTCAACTATTGTCAATATAGACTGCAGAATACCACCTTGTACGAGCCCGGCGCGGAGTGCTTACATTTGACAGAAACAGGATTTCTTTGCAAATATTAAGATTTTAGAATAATATTAACCCCACTAATTTATGGATATAAACAAACCTAAACATCGACGGTGCATAGTAGTTATATGTAGTGTTCTCATGTGTGGTTAGAGTGCTGTTGCGAGGCGCATAACTGAAATACTAGACGGTCTGAAATTTAATTAACCGCCCCAATACAGCTAAACCCTTCCATTAACAAGTATTAGGTTTATACAACAATTACTATATCGGATACCTACTACACTGCTGAGTGGTTGATAAATTCAATCAGTTCTATACCAGTAGCAAGCATCTACCTACAAGTTCTTATCTGATTATATGCATATATAGTAATAATTGTTTAATTTTTATTCTAATTTCCCATTACAAGGCATGGGTCTACCCTCAATGTGAATGACAAAAAGCCATAGCCCATCACACTGGCCAATCAATGATTGGCGGACTTCACAGCCTTTCCAAAATTTGTTAGATTTTCTTAAATAAAGTTTAGTTTACGATGTTTTCCTTCACCGTATTAGCACGAAGTAATGATGTTGAAAATGATTCGTACATGAAAATCTCAGAGGTGTGAGACCTGGACTTAGTCTGCTTCACTTGGTTTTCCAAGCAAGCGCGCTACCAAATACTTACCTCGTTCTATATTATATTATACTAGCATTGCCCGCGGCTCCGCCCGCGTTCAGATGACCAGAAACCAAATTCTTAGATTTTACATATTAGTATACTCTTACAAAGCAGTTTTTGTATTTTTTCTCAGAAATGAGACATTTTCCCGCGGTAAAATGTATCCTATATGTTGACCCGAATAACCAGCTATCACCATACCAAATTTCATCAAAACATCTCCAGTGATTTTTATGTGATGCGGTAACAGACAGACAGACAGACAGACAGACAGACAGACAAACAAAAGTTCTAAAAACTAGATTCGGCCTATGTATCGATACCAATGTTTATTTCAATAAGATTTTCCAAAAAATATTTAATGTACAGATTCGGCTTAGTTACAATTTTATTATATGTATAGATATAAAATAAAATAGTAATGAGCTGTCTATTAAAGATATAAAATAAAATACTTTAAATTAGATTTTTCTTATCTATCTTTCAGTAAAGTTTCGATAAAACATCTTTTTCATATCGAACTTGATATTTAAAAGGTTTTAAAATATTTTTTACTCACGTTTATCTTATTTAAGCACATATGCAACACATTTGTCTAGAAATAAATTAAGTATAGCTAATACTGTACTACATTATGTGTACAAACCTTCTAAGTGCAATTGTGAATCATTCAAGCGATAAGATAACATCCTTGTCGTCATCCCTTGTGTATTGCATTTATCTCTGTGATATAGCGATTATTGAAAATTAGATATCTATAGCTTGATTAAAAAAAAAAATATATACCTACTAAATAATAATTGATGTAGATATAAAAACAAATTTGGGCTCAAGTTTTGATACTATCTACTTGTTTGGGAATTTTCTGTTTTACATATAATCTATATACATATTACGTATGTATGTATGTATTCAGCCCTTTTTACTTATTTCTTCTAATAATAGGTCATAATCTACCACGCTGGCCAAGTGTGGGTTGGCGGACTTCACATGTCTTTCGAAAACTTGCTAGGTTCTCTCAGACATGCAGGTTTCCTCACGATATTTTCCTTCACCGTAAGGCAGGTGGTAATCAAGCTGGAAATGATTCGAACATGAAAATATCAGAGGTGCAAGACCCGGGATTTAAACCCGCTTCAGTCGATTTCCCAACCACTGTGCTAACACTTTGTATTAATATAATATAAAGTAATCTTATTTTACCGATAAGTCACGTTCATATCTCCTCCATTCTACTAGAATTGCTGAAGTAAATTGTGCTCTCTCACGCCTAAAAGCTATTAATTAACAAGACGATTGAATTGAAATACTGTTTGGTAATATTATTTACAGATGTAAAGAAGAAAAAAAGATAATGAAAGGAACATGTTGGGGTTTAGAAATGTAAATGTTATTTAAATTATTATGTCATACCTTTCTTCTGGAGTAAGCTTAAAAGCTGGTAAATCTAGTACAAACTTTGCATACTTTTGCGCTTCTATAACTCTGTTTTATAGCGCTTAATAAAAATTTAGATTTATAAGCGAAGTATACAATAAACTGAGTGCATAAACAACAAACCTAGTCTTTGTTTGTGTAGATTGTGGTTCTTTGATAGTAGATTAGAAAGATATAATAATATAAGGTACAATGTAATCTAAAGTGTGATCATTAAAATTTACCGCAGATTGTAATAAAATACTTATACTATATAGAAAACTAGCATTGCCCGCGGCTCCGCCCGCGTCCAGATGACCATAAACCAAATTCGTGGGTTTTATATACCTATTAGTATACTCTTACATTGCAGTTCTGTATTTTTTCTCAGAAATGAGACATTTTCCCGCGGTATAAAGTATCCTATATGTTGACCCGGATAACCACCAAATCACCATACCAAATTTCACCAAAATTCCTCCAGTGGTTTTTCTGTGATGCGGTACCAAGAAGACAGACAGACAGACAAAAATTCTAAAAACTATAGATTCGGCCTCGGTATCGATAATAATGTTTATTTC